CTGTTCAGCTTCAGATATCGACAATGTCACAACAATAAGTGCACAAGGAAGTGACGGACTGATTTCTCTCCAGGACAATCACATTTATCTTGGCCCTACCACACACAAAGGTCCAAATCTTCAAGCAGTGGGCTTCACTAAGGTATATGCAAATGGCAGCAGAATTATTCCAATCTAATTTCACTTCCTCGTCTCACAATCGGAAGATTAACTGCCCTGCTATTGCAGCCATGTTATTCTGCAAGATGGCCATGCCAAATTAGATCACTTCCAGGGCAAATAATGTGATTTCCTTGGCTTTGTAGTGCAGTAGAGGACTTGACTTGAGATGAGCAACAATCACTACCTTGCCTTAGTCCCTCACCCTCAAACAGCAGATCTCTCATTTCATTAAACTGTGCAACTCCTTTGCTGAGGAAAAAAATAGAATTTGTGTTGTGCCAACATGATACGCTTCTTACAACTGGTTTCTTCCCAACCAAGTCATCAAATGGATCAAGCTTCCACTAATGTGGTTCTGGATGTAAGTAATCAGTGAACTGTTCTTCGTGTCCACAACTAGATGTGATTTTATATCTTTATAGCTGCTTACTGAACCTGTTTGGCTGGTTTGTTTGAAATAATTACACGGAAACATATCTTAGAAATTATTTAGCAATTTTCACTGAAACTCATTTTGTTTTATATGTGATTCTCTGAAAAGACACAGTTGGTCAACGTTCCTGAATACACTGATATGCTAAGTGACAGCATGTTGGTGTCAGTCTGTGCCACAGTCAGCATTATTTCAGTTACTTCATGGTGAGGTGCAAATATCATGAGGCCACTTTTGTCCTGAAATCACCTTGGGAACACAAGCATTGGACACCCAAAACCTGATCTGACCCCAAATCCCAGGAGGAAAACAAGAAGACAAAGTCATCAATATCCCCCTCAATGGCAAAATACTCTTCATGATAATGTCTACGAGTTATGATTATGTCAAATATTTAGGTGTGTATATAGAAGAGTGCAAGGAGAGTATTGAAAGGTTTTTAAAGTTCTGCTCCAGGAAGGAGCACTATCACCAATTTCAGTCTAAGTCAACTTGTTGCCATGGAAACACCAAATTCCAAAACTACCAAAAGGCACCAGTACACCACCAGATCTATCTATGTGCCAAGTTTGGTGAAGAAATAGTGAACGGTTTTAGAGTTCAGCTCCGGAAAAGAAAAGGGCACTACCACCAATTTCAGGCTAAGTCAAACTTCCTGCCACGGAAAAGCCAAAAATATTTTGGAGTCCATTTTAATACCCCCCTCAAAACGTGTTGTGGTTGATAACAAGCATGGGACACTTGAAGCCTCATCTGACCCCCAAATCCCCTTGGGAACACAAGCATGAAACCTTCAAGACCTGTTCTCACCCCAAGTCCCTTTTGGAAGACAAGATTGGGATCCTTGAGAACTGTTCTGAAACCAAATACATCTGGGAAGACAAGATTGGGACCCTCAAGAACTCTTCTGATGCCCAATCTCTTTGGGAAGACAAGACTGGAACCCACGAGACCTGATCTGATGCCCATGGGAAGACAAGATTGGCACCCTTGAGACTTGTTCTGACCCTAAATCCCTATGGGAAGACAGGCACAGGGCCCTTGAGACTTGTTCTGACCCCAAATCCCTATGGGAAGACAGGCACTGGGCCCTCGAGACTTGTTCTGACCCTAAATCCCTATGGGAAGACAGGCATGGGGCCCTTGAGACTTGTTCTGACCCTAAATCCCTATGGGAAGACAGGCATGGGGCCCTCGAGACTTGTTCTGACCCTAAATCCCTATGGGAAGACAGGCATGGGGACCCTCCCTATGCAGGCATGACTTGTTCTGACCCTAAATCCCTATGGGAAGACAGGCATGGGGCCCTCGCGACTTGTTCTGACCCCAAATCCCTATGGGAAGACAAGACTGGAACCCACGAGACCTGATCTGATGCCCAAATCCCTATGGGAAGACAGGCATGGGGCCCTCGCGACTTGTTCTGACCCTAAATCCCTATGGGAAGACAGGCATGGGGCCCTCGCGACTTGTTCTGACCCTAAATCCCTATGGGAAAACAGGCATGGGGCCCTCGCGACTTGTTCTGACCCTAAATCCCTATGGGAAGACAGGCATGGGGCCCTTGAGACTTGTTCTGACCCTAAATCCCTATGGGAAAACAGGCATGGGGCCCTCGCGACTTGTTCTGACCCCAAATCCCTATGGGAAGACAGGCATGGGGCCCCCTGTTATGACTTGTGACTTGTTATGACCCTAAATCCCTATGGGAAAACAGGCATGGGGCCCCAGCGACTTGTTATGACCCTAAATCCCTATGACTTGTTATGACCCTAAATCCCTATGGGAAAACAGGCATGGGGCATGGGTTTGTGTGTGTGTGGGTGTGTGAAAGTGGGTGTAACTGGGGTGTGGGGTGTGTGTGTGTTTTTGTTTTTGTTTTTGTTTTGCTCTACTCGGAAATCCTCTTGTAAAGATTTCATGGCACACTGGGCTGCCTGTTCTGCTTGTAAATCAACAATGGAAGACGAACCTGGGCTGCTGGGAAAGAGGAAGTTCTGATCTTTGATGGTCGCTACCACTGAAGATTCTCACCTTTCTGATCTGGTAAGCGATGCTCTGATTGGTCAGTGGAAAAGTCATTATGATCTCTTTGCTAAGCGGTAGCAAGACCTAAGATCTGATTATAATGAGATTGGGGCAGTAAATGCAGGAGAAACGGGTTGTTGTCGTTAAACAGTCTTGTAATAACAACAGGCAAACATAACCACAGACCAAGAAGAATCATCAGTGTAAACCTGGAATTCAAATCCAGCACTAAAACAGTTTTATCACCTCCTACATGCAAACATCTTTACGGTGCCATTAACACCAACCGCAATGCGTATTGTCCATGAACATATAAATACAGTTAAAAACAAACCAACACTCGCTTTGAAACACATACTTAGCAAGAATAATTGCCCAAGGCAAACATAGTGGAATAACCTCTAAGTATACTGCAATTAGGACCAGAATAAAGTTCTTTACTTGAAACTGCACTTCCATAAATATTTAGTGACAATGTCAGAAATGCCAAAGGGGTGTGTGCTTTTTGTTTTATTACTGAAAGGCTGATAACTGTGGTTTCTGAAACGTGAACATTCTCCCACAATTAATACACTGCATAATTCAGGTTAAGCAGGGTTTTCATCCCTTCCATTAATATTTAGTGTTGATTACTCTGTTCCACTACAAGAAGTTGAATCCCCCTGACTGGAGTCAAAGAGTCCCTGCTGTAAATGGCATTTCACTCATGCCTGCATCAGTCACAAAACCTGTGTCAGGGCTGATTATAACTTTGATGAAAATCACTGGTGATGCACGCATCTGCATGACCTGATGTGCACACCTGCATGTACTGATAATGTGCATACCTGTACATACTGATAATGCACATACCTGCACGTATTGATAACAAGCATAATTCTATGTACTGATAATAGGTACATGTGTAATTCTTTATAATGTGCATACCTGTATGTACTGATGTATGATAATGTGCATACCTGTATGTACTGATGTATGATAATGTGCATACCTGTATGTACCGATGTATGATAATGTGCTTACCTGTATCTACCGATGTATGATAATGTGCTTACCTGTATCTACCGATGTATGATAATGTGCTTACCTGTATCAACTGATGTATGATAATGTGCTTACCTGTATCTACCGATGTATGATAATGTGCATACCTGTATCTACGGATGTATGATAATGTGCATACCTGTATCTACTGATGTATGATAATGTGCTTACCTGTATCTACTGATGTATGATAATGTGCTTACCTGTATCTACCGATGTATGATGTGCTTACCTGTACCTACCGATGTATGATAATGTGCTTACCTGTATCTATCGATGTATGATAATTCTATCTACCAATGTATGATGTGCTTACCTATATCAACTGATGTATGATAATGTGCATACCTGTATCTACCGATGTATGATGATGTGCTTACCTGTATCTACCCGATGTATGATAATGTGCTTACCTGTATCTATCGATGTATGATAATTGGCTTACCTGTATCTACTGATGTATGATAATGTGCTTACCTATATCAACTGATGTATGATAATGTGCATACCTGTATCTACGGATGTATGATAATGTGCATACCTGTATCTACCGATGTATGATAATGTGCATACCTGTATCTACCGATGTATGATAATGTGCATACCTGTATCTACCGATGTATGATAATGTGCTTACCTGTATCTACCGATGTATGATAATGTGCTTACCTGTACCTGTATCTATCGATGTATGATAATTCGCTTACCTGTATCTACCCGATGTATGATAATGTGCTTACCTGTATCTTACCTGTATCTACTGATGTATGATAATGTGCTTACCTGTATCTACGATGTATGATAATTTGCTTACGATGTATGATAATGATGCATACCTGTATGATAATGTGCATACCTGTATCTACGGATGTATGATAATGTGCATACCTGTATCTACTGATGTATGATAATGTGCTTACCTGTATCTACCGATGTATGATAATGTGCATACCTGTATCTACCGATGTATGATAATGTGCATACCTGTATCTACCGATGTATGATAATGTGCTTACCTGTATCTACTGATGTATGATAATGTGCTTACCTGTATCTACCGATGTATGATAATGTGCTTACCTGTATCTACCGATGTATGATAATGTGCATACCTGTATCTACCGATGTATGATAATGTGCTTACCTTTATCTACTGATGTATGATAATGTGCTCACCTGTATCTACCGATGTATGATGTGCTTACCTGTATCTATAGTTGTATGATAATGTGCATACCTGTATCTACCGATGTATGATAATGTGCTTACCTGTATTTACCGATGTATGATAATGTGCTTACCTGTATATACTGATGTATGATAATGTGCTTACCTGTTTTTGGCCTCCAGCTGGGAGATGAGTTCTCTCTGTGCCTTGTTGGTGTCTAAGCTGAAGTTGAGCTCGGTTGGACTCTGGGACTGAAAACAAACAGAGAATGTTAGGTCAGCTTCAACAGATTTTTCAGAGCTCATCAGTATGGATAAAAAAGACGAAGGTGCTGCAGGTTAGAGAATTCTTCCATGTTAGTGAACTCATTTGCACAGGTAATGTACTGACAAAACACCCAAATCAGAGAGAATCTGATTTGAACCCACTGTGTGCATGTTCTGGCTCAGTTAAGGGAGACAACTCTGCACAGTGTAGCAGTGCAGCTGATACACAACACAGAGGCAACAGAATGTGAAAAATAACCTGCTCAGGGAAACACTGCACCATGGATCCCCATTTCCTCATCATGAAATACAACACAAATCTCAGCATTATAGACTATCTTAAGGCCCTTCGGAAAGTTAGCTGAAACTCCTCCATGTTGATGACATGTTGGTGCAGTCGTCAGGTGAAACTGGGCTTAGCACTGACACTAAATCACCAAGGTCACCCAATTCCTTTATCAGTCTCTGAAACCACATCCCACGGTGAGTAAGTGAGTTGGTTTTTACATGGATTTGGGCTACATTTTAGAAATATCAGCAGAGAAAGTGCGAACTGGTCAAAGATTTTTTACCATTTGGGAATATGGTCACTTGCAGATCAACAAAAAAGTACTGATTCATTGAAGATCTATGTAACCATGAAACATAAAACATCAATGGAAGATCTATGTAACCACTACACGTAAAACATCAATGAAGATCTATGTAACCACTTAACATAAACCATCAATGGAAGATCTACGTAACCACTAAACATAAACCATCAGTCTCAATTATTCAAGAAAAGTTTCCAATGGGCATAAATGGCCCTATAGGATATAAAAATTACACAAATGAACTACTTAAAATTAGTGATGACACCAGGTGTTTGAGAAATGTGTAAGCATGCCCTTCTTCTACACAGCAGCCAGCACTCCTCAAAAAACATCGAAAGAATTCTAAATCCAATTTACTACAAAACAAAACTGAAGTTAAGTCTTCCATTAGTGCGACCTTGAGTCAAGTCTCTGATACAATTGCAAGATATCAATGTCTCATTTCACGAGGAACCAAAATATTGGCACAGGCTGCACCTAGTATTTATAAGAGACCGTATTACCTGCCAATTACAATCAACCAGGGGGGATGTTACTGCAATATTCTACACCCACACCAACAACCCACCAGCCATCTTGGAGGAGACGGTATATACACACATCATTATACCGCACAACATAACAAATTTCAAATGAAAATCAATGGCACTCCCGTGTAGTTGGCAGCTAATTTGCTGTCATCAGCATCCAAATCAATCCTTTCAAGAGAAATAACAATAGCTTTATGCAATATACATGGAGATTTCTGAACCACCAAAACAGCTGGGAAGCTTGAGTCAAATTGATGTTTGGGATCCAAACTAATGAAATCACAACACTGAAAAGTATCACATGAAGGAATGAGAAAACAGGAAAAAGTGAGTGAGTGAGTGAGTGAGACCATGGTTATGCCACATAATATACACTCCCAATTATCAGCAGATAAGTAAGTGCATTGTTAAGCTATAATATATACTATTTCATCTAAACAGTGTGTGAGCAAAGTTCTGCTTCTATAAATTATTTCCAATTAAGAATGAGTGAGTGAGTGAGTAAGTGAGTGCATGCACACTTTTGCTATATTCTATACTATTTCCAATTAACAGTGAGTGAGTGGTGAGTGTGGAATGTTATGCTGTCATATACTATTTCCAATTAACAGTGAGTGAGTGAGTGAGTGGAGTTATGCATTATCCAACTTGAGTGAGAGCAGCATTATCCAACTTTTACCACCATTCTCTTGTTCTCAGTGAGAGAGACCGAGGCTAGTTCCTCAATCACACCTTACCACTTGCCAACCCTACTACCATGATGTGTTTAAATCATGTGTACAGCATCCAAATGTTACGATGTCAATTTTCATATACTGTTTGAAAGCATCAACAAAGTCAAGATTCAACCTTTAATCCCCTTCACCATATTATCAATGTTATTCCAACCAGTGTAAAACACATAGTGTCAATCAATACTTAACACATAGTGTAATAGCTGTTAAAGAAATTTGCTTTCATTCAGCAAATTGTTTGTCGGTCAATACTGTAAGTCATCTCCATGGCAACCCTTCTAAACAGGTACCTATATGTACCATTAGCATGATATCCCTATCTCAGAGAAGTCAGTCAATCCAGCAGTAATGTGGAGCCCCATGAGAGAAAGATATACAATACTGGACTAAAAGATTAATGTAAATTTATACTAACCTCTAGCACTTGGCTGACAGATGCAAACATTAGACACAATGTGCTAAGTCATGTGCAACACAAACTCATCGCCAGGTACAGGTAAGTGATGCAAACTGTAGTGGCCATAAATTCAGATCTAAAACCTTCATTGAAAGCAGTACAAAAAACACTGCAGATATTTTCTGAACAAAGCTTTTACCAACTGGGACAAATCAATGGGCAAAGACTTCAAAGATGCCTCAAGATAAATATTGGCCTCTGACCTCAAATCCAATTCTTTTCATCGATCGAAAATCAATAGCGGTTAAAGATTTTTGCAAGGACAGGATAGAGCCAGTTAAATGTTGTATTGAATGGGGCTGACCATCATCTGAGTAGATGAAGTGAGGCAGGCCCAGTGAGGGGCGGAATGTCGTTCCAGAGACAGGATGACAGGACGGAGTTCCTTCTGTAAAGGACATCTTGTCCAGATCAATACCTTCTACTGCTGAATTACACTGTAGGTCACACAAAATGAATACATAGCACTTTCATCAGGCAATTATTGTCATGGCTGATGGATATTATTCAGGCATAATGACATAAACCAGTCTTCCTGCAATATGAGTCGGCAATTCTTGGTTGGTTTGTCCAGATATCTAGTCATCATAGGCTTGTTGAAGGGACAGCATGTCTCTACAAGCCATGAGATCACCAATATTGTGTAGAAGCAGACTGAACCAAGGAACCAAATAACAGACATAGTCCAGACACAGAATGTACTAATAATTTGGAGGACAACACGCTCTAGACATAGACTGAAACCTTGAAGTTAAAGACAACATGGGCTAGACTGAGACTGAAACAATGAAGTTAAAGACAACATGGGCTGGACTGAGACTGAACTGATGAACTGCCAAGACAACATGAGCTAGACACAGACTGAACTGATGAGCTGGACACAGACTGAACTGATGAAGTAAAAGACAACATAAACTGGACACAGACTGAACTGATTAGCTGGACACAGACTGAACTGATGAAGTGAAAGACAACATGAAGTTAAAGCTGGACACAGACTGAACTGATGAACTGCCAAGACAACATGAGCTGGACACAGACTGAACTGATGAACTGAAAGACTGAACTGATGAGCTAAAGACACAGACTGAACTGATGAAGTGAACTGCCAAGACAACATGAGCTCCACAGACTGAACTGATGAACTGAAAGACAACATGAGCTGGACACAGACTGAACTGATGAAGAAAAGACAACATGACAACAGACTGAACTGATAAAGACAACATGAGCTGACTGAACCATGAAGTGAATTGAAAGACAACATGAGCTGGACACTGACTGAACTGAGACTGGACTGAGACTGAACTGATGAAGTGAAAGACAACATGAGCTGGACACAGACTGAACTGATGATGAAAGACAACATGAGCTGGACAACATGAGCTGGACACAGACTGAACTGATGAACTGAAAAGACAACATGAGCTGGACACAGACTGAACTGATGAAGTGAAAGACAACATGAGCTGGACACAGACTGAACTGATGAAGTGAAAGACAACATGAGCTGGACACAGACTGAACTGATGAACTGCAAAGACAACATGAGCTGGACACAGACTGAACTGATGAAGTGCCAAGACAACATGATCTAGACACAGACTGAACTGATCAATTGAAAGACAACATGGTCAAAACACAGACTGTTCTTATGTGCAACATGATGCAGATTGGAGAATTATACCATTGGCAGAGGGGCCAAATAATAGACATGGTCTAGACACAGATCTAGACCTAGACAAGGAACCAAAACCATAGACACACAAAGAGCCAGACCAACTGACTCTGTTAACACCATGGATGTTTCTCCTAAATGTCTATATATACTGGTATACTTTTTGCAAGAGAATCAAATATATTGTTCAATTATCCCAAGCAAATTACAAATTATCAACATTTGTTGACTGCAACTATATACTTTTTAGACATTTTCTGAGCAAGGAAACATGTAAATTGACTAAAAGGTGTATTATTCCTATATATATCTGCACTTTCCATGCATCAGAAGAAACATGGATCAGCATCAAATTAACTCAATACATGTCCACCAAAAGGATGGCTGCATCTGAAACATGTCCTAGACTGTATGGAGCACATGAATTAATGTGCCTCCACATTACCCTGCCATCATCCGTACATCAAGAAAATCTCGCCGTGTAATTACACCAGCCATCAATATTCAAGATCTATGTCCAATAACCAGGCGTTGTCATCAAACAGCATATGTACATGTCATCCATGGTTATCAGATACGTAATTATACCAGCGACAGGCTTGTTTGTGGTCCGGCGAGTTATAGCCTTAACAATCGTGTCAGGGGCAGTCTTCCATCAACACACACTCCATCAATAAAACATTGGTGGGATATGGCAGTTCTACACAGAATAAGTTGTGAATAATACCTTTCACACCAGGCATGTTCTGAAGTCTTGGAGCGAATGTGTCTGTACATATCTGTAAACATGTTAGTGAACGAGTGGATGTGGTCTGTGAGTGTGTGCTGTGTGTGAGTGGATGGTGAATAATACCTTTCACATCAGGCATGTTCTGAAGTCTTGGAGCGAATGTGTCTGTCTGTGTGTAAACATGTTGTGAGATGTGGTCTGTGAGTGAGTTTAGTGGATTAAGTCACTTTGTATGCATGCAAGAATGAGTGAGTTTAGTT